GAGGTGGTGGATCACCACACAAGTACACAACGAAACACGGCGAGTGGTTCTGACACGATGCGAGAATGAAAAATGGTAAATTGGAGTTTAAATAAAAAATGACTATTTGACAATGTTTTTCACTCTCACCACAGTGAAGGAATTCTGAGCAAAGTGTTGGAAGAAATTATGAATATGCCAATCAAAGATTTAAAACTAGTCTCGTGATTATGAAAAGATAGTATTGCTCTATTCCTTGAATGTATTTTCGTATAAACACCGGGCGCTGATGCCAGACAGTTCAAAGCACAGTCATATTTTGCTTATACAACACTGCATCATTACAGACATGATACCTTGTGACTAACAAATTAAGTTAAATAATATTTATCGTTATTTCCCTCTTTACTGCAAATAGTATCATGTGATAATGGTTAATGCGTTGCACAGCACATTATTTTCTGACTGCAGTCCAAAATGCTAAGTTGGTCTCCTTTATTTAACCAGATGATGAATGAAACCCATTGAGGCTCGTGAAATATTGCCTCATGCAAGGGTGACATGGCAATGTACTGTGCCTTCGGTTGATGCCTGCCAAGTGCAATAATTATTGAAGCTTGAGGTTTTGTGACCATTGTTGTCCTTCCCCCGTGCCTCCGATTAGCACAGTTGGCTACGTACGGTGCAAAAGAAGTTCTACATGCGTACATAAATAAACCACGCTGTAAAATAGACGGAAACTTGGTTCCCCCCAGTACTCTTCATGATCTCGGCTTCCATAGTGATCTTAGCGCTTCTTCCTATGTGCGCTGTACGGATGTTGTAAAACATTGGTTCAGATGCTGGGAAGGAGCGCCCCCTACTGCACCTCAAGTGTTGGACGTGTTGAGTGAAACGAGCAAGACATCGACCTCAACCAAAGATAATAAAAGCACGCGCGCGCACACACACACAAACGCGTAGGTGGACACGTGGCTCAACAGCTCATAACCCTCATGTCAGAACACTAAACAGGTTAATATCTGGCTGTCAGCTGCTCGCAAGTCCCTTATTTCTCAAGTCCAATGTTGTTGATGGTCACCGATGACTGCAAAAAAAAGTCAGCATGTAAAATGTGGCTTTTCAATAGCATTTGCATGTTGCATTTCTAATTTCCCGAGGATTAACGCACACTTTTCAGGGCACGCGAGAGCCCTGCATCTACTGTTCTACTGAAACAAGATTATGAACTGGCTCATTGTAAAAAGCTCTGAGAAGGAATTGTTTTCATCCCATGAAGTGACACTGACAGCACAAATTACATTTTCCTTCAACAGTTAAAGGCAATTAAAGTTGTAATCCCAAATACTGCCCAGTTAAACACGCCACTAATAATAGGGCTGAATAAATGCCCTTTTTCCCAAACGAGTGAAGTGTTTACACAATGCTTGCCACGCTGCTTCGCCCCTCATAAATGCCAACACTGAAAGCCGCTTATGTTAATATGGAATTGTTCACTCCTGTCCCAAGACTCAAAAATTAGAGGATCTCTGTTCCATCAAAGACAAAAGTAAAACATTTTTACAAATCAAACGCAGTCATAAAGATCCCTCATGATGCTCAGTTATCAAAGACTGATACCCCCAAAGGACAAAAAAAAACAATTTACATAGTTTGTTTACAGTGGACTGCAGGGAAAGGGTTTTGCAAAAACCACTCAGCTGCACTATATCACGAGCAACATATGCAACAAATCACCTTCCATTAACATCTGTAGACCTTTTAGACAATGTTTTTGTTTTGCACTGAAGGCCCATGCTGTAAGGATAAGGCACTTGCCAATAAACACCTTGTAAAACCAGCAATGTTGTTCAGCATGCCTTACTACGAATGTGCCCCCAGAACGATGAAAACTAGTCCAGAGTTAACGCCTTCAAGCAAACGATGCTGATTTACCAATGGAAAGCCACTATGCCAATAAGCTGAAGCCTTTTCATTTAGATCATGCTAAATACATATTGTTTTTTTGTAGGTGTGGATACAAGGTGATTTATTTTATTAACCAGAAAATGTTCTACTGGAGCACTAGATAAGATGTCCTCCAGTATCTCTAAGGTTGGGTTTCAAGTTAAGTGCCATTGATGTAAGTGCATGACCCAGATTTGCCCTGTGAATGCGGGCTAAACAAACCTGCGGGCAGGTTCACAATGGCCTGCAATTCTAGTAAACAACAGAGCCCAGGTGTAATGTGAGTTGCGTAAATGAAGTCAAAAAGTTCTAGAGTGTTTAAATGACAATAGAAGTGCGAAATAGAAATGTTTATAATGCAAGGTATGGCATCACAATACTAACTAAAAGGCCTACAAGGCTCAGGGCTGTGGAAGTCAAGAGAATGTAGAATTAAAAGGTGGGTAGGATCTCAGGAAAGAAGGCGGAGTAGGAACGGGACATTAACTTTTAGAGTAAATTCCAGACAACTATAAATTTGCATTGCCACAGATATAATCTTTATGATGACAGACTGCCCAGATACTCAAGCTAAGTTAAAGGGCAGCTGAAAAAGAAGTTGGTATTATTTTGGGGTAACAATTTCGCAAAAATGCTTACACAAATGCACATATTAAAATAAGTAATCACCTGCACTTAAACTAACCACTGGACATTGAACTTTGAAATAACGCTTGCCCTATTTTCACACTGAACAAATGGGCAGTGGGGTGTGGAACACCAACATCTTACCCCCCTCCACAACCACACAAATAGTGGTGTCATCTGAGGGTAACCTATGAACAACACGCAACAACCTCAACGCACCACACTGACACACTAATTTATAAGCACGACATAAAACAATCATTCAGCAACAGTGGGAGCTATATAGCTCTTTTTCAGAAGCGACCTGGCCACAAATGAGAGCTCAACAAAGTGGCTCATCACGTGGAAATTTAGAGCAGCCTAATACTCTAAATGCGTGTCGATTCTAAATGTGGAGGGAAAAACCAGAAGACCTGGAGAAAAATCCACACGACCACGGGGAGAACATGCAAACTCAAAATATATGCGTGTCAGGGTCGAGCTCGAACCCACTACCTCCTTTATACCAGGCGAAGTAGTTAACATCTCGCCATCCTGGCGCCCTACACTTCAGTATGTTTCAAGACTTTGATTAGTTATTTTTTACATAACCAATCGGCCACATGGTCTTCTGAGAGTGCATCTTCTTGGCAAAACTACAAGTAAGCTTACACAAATCTACCTACATACACAAAGAAATGGGTTTAAGTTTCTGCAAATTGCAAAACATTCCACTAAGTTTCCATAATTGGCTCATTGCTCAACGTTCGCTCAGCAGCAAGTGGCATCGTAAAGATGTTATCTTCACCAATGCAAATTAGGAGCTGCCTGGAATTTCCCTTCCACTTGAGTGCACCTTTATCCTTCCTCCTCCCCTCCCCCATTGCCACAAACCCCCATTCCACATTTCACAACCATACTTGTAAATACAAGTTCTGCTCAACAAAAGCACCGAGATCAGATTTTCTGCAAAACAATGAGAAAACGTGTGTGGCACAATCAACACAAATATTTCGTGTAATAATGAGTTTCGACATAAAATAGTTTAAGTCCATAAAGGCATTATGGGAGAGAAAAAAAAACGTGTTCATATATTAACACATCCTTATAACAGCAACATATATAAATACACTGACGTTTCAGTCAATGGTCCTTGTTCAGAGCAAAGCAGCGTTTGAAGAAATTATGTGGTTCTCCATGTGTTTCAAAGATTTATGTGATCAGGCAGTTCAATAGCAGAACATTCAACTCATAATGAAAAGGCCAAGCATTTAAATTATAATCAAAGGCCCACTCAGTCCTTCATTGCTCTGGAGTAAAAAACAGAAAAGGGAACCTCTTTCTGGGAGATCAACTATGGTTGTCCTTTCAAGAACCGGTCTCTGCCCAAAGTCCATTTGAGTGCAGTGGCACTCTGGCTTGTTTCTTTTACTCACAGCAGAAATGTTTTTAGATCAACCACATTTGGTCACGTGACCAGAAAACAAAAAAATCGACAATATAGGGCATTTGATTTGCAAGAACACGAAACTAGAAAAGCCATATACAACTGTGCATACAAATCGGTAGATACATCCTGTGCTCAAATATGTAAGAGACCCCCCCCACCTACTTAGTGCCTTCACAAACACATGCTACATATCATTTACACACTCTTCTCATGCAACCCCTGTAATGTGTAACTGCAATAAAATACTACCCCATGCTGCTGCCAAAACCATGAGCTTTATGAGATGTTGCCTCCAATTGGGCACAATGGCAATGTGACTTCTTAATTTATAGACGGGTCAGTGCATACATTGCATGTTAGCACATCTTGCTCCCTTCGTATGGAAATTAGTAAATTAAAAACAATCTATAAAAAAAATCCTCATTAAATGTGCCTGCGCCTGAGCTTCTGCTGACACAGAAATTCTCAAACATTGAAAAATGTGATGTTATCTCAGAACCAAAAAGCCCGAAGTGTATAAGTAAACGAGATTGGCTAGTCGACCTTACATGGCCAAGTGATAGATGTTTATATAAGAACTAACGAGGAAACCACAACTCAAACATTAGAACAAAGCCCAGTGGTCATCCTATGCAGATACTGGCCCCAGATACAGGAATGTGTAATTTCCACCACTGGCTCAGAGTAGGGTCACACATTTTAATCCCGGACATAACACTCTGGCCAATGAGAATGCAAAAACATCCCACCGCTTCTCTGTTCATTTCACTCAACTCAGAGAGAAACAGCGGGAGAGCGACACATATAAACAGAAGACAGAAATTAGTTGAATCTAAAGTCGACTTACATTTCTGCTTCATAAGCAAAACGATTTCCAAGTATGGCTGTGGAGAGGGTGGAGCGTGCACAGCCAGCGGGCTATGCAATAGGAGGGGTGGCACTCCGTCAGCTCTGGCTTAACCCCTGATGCCAGCACAACTGTGAGCTGCTTGCCACAAGGAAACGTCAGGAGACGCACCTTGCCTGTAGCACTCCTGGAGCTTCTTGGAGACCCACTGCACACCCTTGGCAGCAATCTTGGTGCCGAAGTTCCTGTCAAATGGGGAGGGACAGCCACCCTGCCAGCACAAACACACAGCAGTGGAAACAACAGGAAGGTAGCTTTAATGGCCCTTTACAAACACCAGCCGGCATGGTGATGCACCCGTCAGAAACTTTTGGAAGCTGGGTTGGTGAACCTCACAAATGTCATCTGTGCCGTTAAACTCCCAACCAACTGGGCTATTAGGTCGTTTGGTGATGGCCGTAAAACAAGTAGAGTTATAACCCTTTGGTGTGGACGTTTGAATTTATCCCTTTGTATGCATGGATTTCGTATCCAGGAATGGCAGTTTCTCCCAAGTTGAAAAACAGTCTTGGTAATGGAAATAACCAAACATCCCAAGGACAGTTTTGAAACAGTGAGGCTTTTAAATATGAAGTAAATATTTAATGGTAATTTCATTTGATTGTAACACTATCCCCACTTGTGGACTTAATCATTACAAATGATGTACTGCTTTGTTTCAGGTAATATACCCTACTCTCTATTATTTTAATGTTGGCTGATTTTCAGTGAACAACCTTTATAGGACAGAGTGCCATCTGGTGCCACCAACGTAGATGAGCCACGAACACACGTTGACTCTTTGTATGTGATCAAACAAATACCCGAACCCATATATTAATGTATTTGTAGTATAATTCACCGGTTAGGTGGCTCAGCGGTATAGCAAATGGCTCACAATCGGAAAGTTTCGAGTTCTAATCCTGGTGTTGCATTGATCCTTTCCATCATCTTTCTGGAGTCGATAAAACAAGTACCAATTCTTGCAGAAATCAACAGTGGTTGTTCTATGGATAAACTCACCCCCATCATGAAAATGAGGAATTTCCACCATTGGCTCAGGGCTGCCTTCATGCTTATTTTAGCAGAATATAACCAAAAAGCTGTGTAGCTTATTTGGGGTGATCCAAAATTTCTGATATATAACACAAAATAATCACTAGCGTCGTGGTGGAAAACATAAATAACACAAATAATGTGTGCTTTTCATATATCTGTCTCTCCACAAATATTTTTGTTTTTTGTTTACACAAGCCATCGGGTCCCAAAGGTTATCATAATAACTGAGCGGGAGTGGCTACAATGAGCATCATTGTCCATGTGTGTGTGCTTCACCTGCTGCATGTGTCCCAGCACATTCTTCCGGCAGTCAAACACCCCTTTCCCCTCAGCCGAGTACAGGTGGTAGATGAAATCTGTCGTGTAGTTGGGGTTGCAGTTCTCGTTTCTGGTTGGATATTCAGACAGCAAACGGCACACGGCGCTTGTATTATAATATTTAACACTCATTCGGAAAGAAGGCGGGAGTAGTGTATTTTATTGTGTAGGTTCAAGAGCCGGAACTTGACAAAGCAACGAGAGAAGACGTTTGTTTCTGGCCTTTGGGCATAGGTAATGTGGAGGGGGTGCTAAGGATTTTGTGACAAAACAGAGGAAGCCATTTGAGGTCAGGAATAGAATGCAGATGTACAAATAAGAGACGGTTGCAAAAGTTTGATAACCAGGGAATTAAAAGGTAGCCTTATAATAAAGAAATTTACGTAAAGCATGCAACAGTTGAAAGAAGGACTGCAAGGTGTAACGAGATAAAAAGCAATGGCTACAATTACCTCTTGGTCTTCATTACCGCTACTCGATTCCCTTACAGTGATGATTCCTTAATGTCAATGACAACACTGAAGGCAAAGTGGATCTCACCGAATTACGAGCCCACGGTGAATGTTCCCTTTCATCTTCTCCGTCAGATGCTCCACATTCATCTGCAGACAAAGGCACAGAAAACACCCGGTACTGGGTTCGAAGACACACTTAAGTGAGATTCAACAGCACTCGCAAAAATCCAACATGTGCCATGGAACACGCAGACAGATATTACCCATTGGCCCAATCATACAAAACCAAGACACAGATTCCCCAGATATCACTCACGACTGATGTTAGCAATGGCCGGGTATCGAAGCCATGTGACCGAGTTCATCAATCAATCAAGTCTTTATTTCTATAGCACTATTTCGTGCAAAAGGATGCCATTCAAAGTGTTGTACAGATTAAAAAAAAAAACATTATTAATTGACTAAATCACAAGAATAAAAGCAAATTCCATACAAAACAAAAGAACATTATAATAAATTACTGTTGAAGGCATATAAAAATATAACACTATAAAAGAATCTTAAGTAAAAGCAAGTTTAAAAAGGTGAGTTTTAAGATATAACTTAAAACTTCTTAATGATTGCGAAGCCCTCAGATCCCCTGGCAAACTGTTCCACAGGCGAGGACTATACACACTAAAGGCCGCTTCTCCATGAGTTTTGGTCCTGGCCCTTGGGATGACTAAAAGACCGGAACCGGAGAATCTGAGGGATCTTGTTGGTTCATATCTGCTGGTGCCAAACCATTCAACAATGTAAAAACCCATAACAGAATTTTACAATTAATCCGATGACTGACTGGCAGCCAGTGTAAGGACCGTAAAATAGGTGTTACATGGGAGCTCTTCCTGGTTTCTGTGACCACCTGTGCTGCTGCATTCTGAATAAGTTGTAGATGACACATTGCCTTTTTCGGAAGACTGGAAAAGAGAGCATTGCTGTAGTCAAGTCTGCTGGTAATAAAAGTATTAATCAGTTTCTCAGTAGTTAACCTATATTTCTAAGATGATAAAATGCGGTTTTGGTGATATATTTGATGTGGGCTTCAAAATTCAAAAATCCTGATCAAACAAAACACCTACGTTTTTAACCTGCAGTTTGCCATTTTCTGTCAGCGAGCAAACATTTGTGAGCAGTTTCTCTCTTTGGGCTTTTGCTCCAATTACCAGGACCTCGGTTTTGTCTTTGTTAACTGCCAGGAAATTCAGTACCATCCACATTTAATATCATCAATGCCCTTCATAAGGGTATCAATGCGGCTTATATCATTCGGAGATACCGAAATGTATAGTTGCGTATTGTAGGCATAACAATGAAAATCAATCTCACGTTTCCTGATGATATCGCCTAGTGGTAGCATATAGAGACTGAATAAAACAGGTCCCAGAATGGAGCCATGTGGAACACGACACGTAATTTCTGTCTTTGAGGACGACAGATCACCTATGGAAACGAATTGCTCTCTGCTGGTCAAATAGCTCTTATACCAATTTGCAACTGTACTGGAGAGGCCGACCCATCTCTGCAATCTGTCAAAAATAATATTGTGATCAACCGTAAGTGCAGTTTTCAGTTCACAGTGGAGTGTGCTAATCACTGCACCACCATTCCACAAGAACAACAGTCGCCATTTACCACTAAGTGGCAGTGACATCACCACAGTTCTTGTGCCAGGCAAGATGCACTTTGAGGCCATGTGAAGATCTAAGGCTCACTCCAGACGACATACAAGATAAGACAAAGATCCCCTCATAGCCGTAACAGACTTTTGGAGCAAGTGCTGTTAGCGATCACCTATGAAGGCCAGCACGGTACGCAAGGAGGTGGATGGCCAGCACCATGCCCGACCGCCTTTATCTCCCCAGTGGCGAGCTTTACACACTGCACCAGGTACCCCTTTGAGGCTGAAACGACCTAGGGGAGGCCCCAGGACTGGTTCAGATAATCGTCACTGGTGTTGGATGTGAGCAGCAAATTGAACTTGGGTCACCGGGTTCATAGCACAGTGTGCTAACCGCTACCATACCGCTCCCCACTACATACACACATGCGTCAACTGACTCCCCGCCATGTGCCCTCTGCTCCAGCAACCAAGGCCTCCTGTGAAATCCCCCAGTCAAACTCCTTTCAATGGGAAACACACACATATCAGCGAAGCTGCACCACACACCTGCAGGTCTCGGATGCTGAAGGGCTCCTCGTAGATGTAGGCGGCGTCCGCTCCAGCAGCCAGGCCGCTCATGGTGGCCAGGTACCCGCAGTAGCCACCCATCGTCTCGATGATGAACACGCGGTGTTTGGTGCCGCTCGCCGACTGCTTGATGCGGTCGCACGTCTGCTCCCAGCAGGGCGGTCACACGCACGAAACGAGAAACTCAGCGGCCATGTTAACCCTCGGGGTGCCCCATCCCATTGTACCTGTTGTGAATTGAGCTGAAACATCTCAAGCCTAAGCAGCCTCTTATTCATGTAACCCAAAGGAACTTCTCTTGGATTTGCACAATGTCTCTGCTAATGTAGCCTTTCTGATGTTAGGAAGTCACTGAAGTTATGCACTTTTAATTATGCTCATTTCTTTTCACTGATTTTTGTGTTTAGTTTGTTTACCTTCCCCCCGCAACTTCGATTAGTGTGGTTGGCTACGAACAGTGCAAAAAAAGTTCAACATAATACATACTTCAAGAAATGCAAGTTCCTCTCTTGAGCAAAGCCAATGTGATTATCAAACAGCAACTGCTAAGACTCTATACACCATTAGACATCCCAGCAATGCAGCACTACATCCACATTTGGGGTGATGTACCAGTTAACTTTAACACTTTTTGATTGAATCCAATAAAAAGCTCTTTGCCCTATTCAAGGACTACATGTGTTTACCTCTCTTGGCCCTCCTATCTCACTGTTACACTGGTGAAGATGCACCACTTAGTGGAAACTCACCAGTGGCCATTCCATTGGAAGACTGTTCTCTAGAACAAGAATGTAAAATGTCCTCCATTGGCTCAAGGCAGCTAGGTGTTTGCAAATGTACATGCACCTTGTTTAACCATGGGGACACGTTGATTTCTCTTGAGCCAAATGTGGTGGTGGACTGCCGAGGACAGTAGTTGGTAACTCGTGCAGATTTGTCAAACTCCCAGCTTGCTGAGCTATGAGATGGCTAGCAGAAGGCAAAACAAGCAAGTGGACTTGTGCAGACCTTTAAATATTATAGCCTCGTATGCTTTGGTTCAGTCTCGTTTCCTTGTAATACTCATAAAAAAAGATACTTGGCAAACACCCTAATTGAAGACTGTCCTAATAAGCACTATTTAAAAACACTTTTTTTAAAACACGCTTTAATGAAATGTACCGTACTAGTAATGGAAGAACTCCACGACTCCAGGAAGTGGCCCCGAAGCTTGCCATAATGTTAGGGACCGTGGTGATTTACAGCCAACGTCAGTTGAGCGTTGACAATTAGACCCAAGCCGAAACATAACATATAAAAAATAATGTTTAAAAATATGTTTATTTTTTATTTTTAATGATATAATATAGTATTGCCATCAATATGACATAAGTATACCAAGTTTCCAGTCGATACCACATTGGCAAGTGGGTAAAAAATTTGTTACAAGATTTGAGGATACAACAGAGTGAGTTAATAAAAATCATGAAATAAAAATAGTTTGCGACTCGGTGAGGCTCTCCTGGATAGAGTGTTCCACCCCTTCACTCGTTTCCCCGTCTGTCCCCGCAGGCCCCCACCTCCACGATGGCATTGAGGGCCGTGTCTGTGCCGATGGAGAAGTCCGTGCCGGGCACGTTGTTGCTGATGGTGGCGGGAATGACGCACATGGGGATGCACAGTTCCTCAAACTTGCTCCGCCCGCTCGCCAGCTGCATGGCTCCTTCAAGGGCCTGGAAAGTATGCCATTTGTCACATTAGCTTCAGTCCGTTTATTAAATTCTCCACGTTGAAGCAGCAACTGAGTTATGTACGAGATTTGGGAGCAGCATGAAAGCAGATATGTTGTCAGGATGAAATTACTCAATCGCATTGATTTTCCTCAACGTGAAAATTAACCTTAAAGAGCAAAATCATTTAAAGGTTAGCAAATAGAAAATGTGTTGTCTTATTTCTTGAAAAAAATGTCTATTCTGCCCCATGGCAGGTATGGGGGTGTTGATTATACACATCTCTGCAAGTAAAGAACTCGACCTGTTGGTGAAATGGTTAGGAAACAAATCTGCAGAGTATGCAAAGAGTATCCAGTTGGCAAACATAGACGACCCTGCCTCAAGCCTGCATGCGGTGTGGGAGAGGCTCTAGGAATGCTATGGTAGCCCAGAAACCATTGAGAAAGCTCTCTTCAAAAAGTTGCAGAATTTTCCAAAAATCTCTGATTACGAGAGCTTGGAGATCTTCTGATGGAGCTTGAATCAGCCCAAGCTGACACCTACTTACCGGGTCTAATTTTTTTAACACCTACCATGGAGTGAACCCCATTGTAGAGAAATTGCCATTCGACGTGCAGGAAAAATGGATAACAGAGCATCAGGTTGCATTCCCCCCATTTTTTTTTTTCTCAAAGTTTATCTGCAACCTGGCTAGGACCAGAAATGACCCGAGTTTCATTTTTGGCACCACGGGGCTCTCCAGTCCAGATCTCCAAAAAATTGAAAGAGCAACGGCGAGTCGAGGAACAGCAAGTGCCAATCTCTGTACACAAGATTGAGGTCTCTCCTACGATATTCGCAAACTTTGTCCAGGCAACCATCACAAAGAAGAAGATAAAAGATCCAGAAAGGCAATGCCCATTGCATGATAAACTTCACTCCCTCCAGAAATGCTGTGAGTTCAGGAGGAAGCCACTGGAAGAGCGGAAGAACATGCTGATATATTTTGGAGTGTGCTTCAAATGCTGTGCTTCTACAAACCACTTTGCAAGGAATTGCAAGGCAGATATCAAGTGCGAGGAATGTCGCAGCGACAAAAACGCAACTGCTCTGCACACATTTTACTCCAATCCTGGTGGCACTAAGGCTTCCGATCCCTAAGCAGAGCACGGCAGGGAGCAAGGTGAGATCGCCGCACCCACTTCGTCAGTCACAACCAAATGCAGTCAACTGTGGAGAAGGCTTCAAAGGAAAATCTTGCTCAAAGATATGCCTCGTCTGAGTGTATCCCAAAGGACATCCTGAAAGGGCAGTAAAGATGTACGCCATAATAGACGATCAGAGCAACAAGTCTTTTGGCAAGGTCAGAGTTCTTTGATCAGCTAAGCGTATGTGGGAATTCCTTTCCATACACGCTCAGAACATGGTCAGGACTGATGGAGATAGCAGGAAGAAGAGCGAGAGGCCTCATGGTGGAAACCATGGATAGCACCATAAAGCTAGCCCTTCCTACGGTGACAGAGTGCAATGAGATACCGGATGACAGGAGCGAGATTCCCACGCCCGAAGTCGCACGTCACCACCCACACCTGAAACCCATAGCAAAGTTCATTCTGCCATTGGATCACGGGGCACAGATTTTACTTCTGCTTAGCAGGGACATACTGAGAGTGCACAAGGTTCGCGATCAACAGAATGGACCTCAAGACGCTGTCTATGCCCAGAGACTTGACGTTGGATGGGTCATCATAGGTGATGTCTGTCTCAATGGAACACACAAACCAGACCGCATTAGAACATTCAGAACAAGTGTGCTCACGAATGGACGCACATCGCGCTTCAAGCCGTGCGCCAACCACTTCACGATGAAAGAGGAACAGGCAGAGAGAAGTCAAGGCTGTACCATGCGGACTTACGAAGAAACCTCTATGCTGGAAAGACAAGAAGATGATGTTGGACATACGGTGTTCGTGACAACGAAGAACGACGACAAACCTGCTTCTTCGCGAGAGGATAAAGAATTCTTGAAAATAATGAAGAGAGTTCTTCCAAGATGAGTAAAACAGCTGGATTGCCCCTCTGCCATTTCATAATCCCAGATGCCGGTTACCCAACAATAAAGAGCAAGCCCTCTCACGGCTCAACTCATTGCGCCGTACCTTGGACAAGAAACCAGAGATTAAAACTAATTTTGTATCCTTCATGAAAAACATATTTGACAGTGGTCATGCTGAAGCAGCCCCTCCCTCTAGAAGAAGGAGAGGAATGCTTGCTGGTACTTCCCAATCTTTGGTGTTTATCACCCGAAGAAGCCGGATCAGATCAGAGTGGTGTTCAATTCCAGTGCTCAATTTAAGGGCGTTTTCTTGAACAACGTAATGCTCACCGGACCGGGCTTGACCAACAGTCTCCTAGAATTACTCATCCGTTTCAGAAAGGAGTCAATCCCTGTAACAGCCGACATTCAACAAATGTTCCACTGCTTCATTGTCTGAGAAGACAACAGAAATTATCTCAGATTTCTGTGGTACCGCAATAAAAACGTTGATGATCGAATTGTTGAACACAGAATGAAGGTGCATGTCTTCGGCAACAGCCCATCCCCAGCGGTAGCCACCTATGGACTTAGAAGGACTGCGCGAGCAGGAGAATGGGAATTTGGGGAAGACGCCAAGCGTTTTGTAGAGCGAGATTTATACGTTGACTATGCACTCAAATCAATGCCCACGGCCTCAGAAGCCATCAATCTGCTCCAAAGGACACAAGGAATGTTAGCTACTGCTAACCTGAGACTTCACAAGATAGCGTCCAGCAAAGCAGAAGTGATTAAACAGTTTCCTTCAGACGATCGTTCAAAGGAATTGAAAGACTTGGACCTTAACGTCGACACACCAACAATCCAACGCAGACTAGGACTGAGTTAGGACCTGAAAGCGGACACATTTACATTCCGAGCATCAATTGGAGAGAAGCCTTACACTCGACGTGGCATCTTGTCGATGGTAAACAGCCTGTATGATCCACTAGGATTTTTAGCGCTGGTCACCATTCAAGGCCGTTGGATACTCAGGGATCTTTGTACTGATATACAAGACTGGAATAGCCCGTTGCCTGAGGAAAGGCAACAAGAATTGGAAACTTGGAGAAATTTCTTACAGGCGCTTGAGCAGCTACAGATTCCGTGTTCCTACATACCCACATACCTTTCCGTAACCCAACGTAAGGAGTTACATGTGTTTGCAGATGCTTCTATGATGGCCGTAGCAGCCATAGCTTACCTAAAAACCACAAGCGTAGAAGGGATCTAGCACGTTGGGTTCATCTTAGGCAAGGTCAAATTGGCCCCACAACCAGAATATACCATCCCAAGGCTTGAGCTGTGTGGAGCCGTTCTAGCTACAGAAGTGGCGGAACTGATCTTAGACGAATTGGACATTAAACTGGATGCGGTCAAGTTCTACACGGACGGCAAGGTCGTACTAGGCTACATAAACAACCAAACCAGAAGGTCGTACACCTACATCAACAACAGGGTGGAACGCATCAGGAGGTCGAAGGAGCCGGAGCAATGGAATTACGTTCCTACTGAACAGAATCCTGCAGATCTCGCAACTAGGTCCATCCCTGCATCTCTGCTGAAGCAAACCATCTGGCCGACGGGTCCAGCGTTCCTCTTACGACGTGACGGTGGCCCATGTACTACCAAAGAGACTTTTGGACTCGTAGAGCCCGAGTCAGACAAGGAGATTTGTCCTCAAGTGACAACTTTGGTCACAAATGTGCCACCAAGAAGTCCACTGAGTCCACACCATTTTGAACATTTCTCGAAATGGACGACGCTCATGCGAGCGATAGCACATCTAATGCATATCGCAGACTGCTTCCATCGCCCTATGAGAGGCACCACTGGTAGCTGCAATGGGTGGCATCACTGCACAGTGCCACGCACTGAAGATGAGCTTTCCAGAACAAGGAAATTAATCTTCCGTTGTGTGCAACATGCAGCTTATGCAAGTGAGATCAAGTCCATCAACAAGGAAGAAGACCTTCCTAGGGTCCGTTTCCTCAGGAAGTTAAACCCCAGAATGGACAAAGACGGCTTTCTCAGGATCGGTGGTCGGCTAGGGAATGAAAAATTAGATGAGAATGAACGAAACCCCCTCATAATCCCAAGCCAGAGCCACATCGCAATTGTACTTGTGCGCTACTACCACGAGAAGGTCAAGCACCAAGGTCGGCACTTCACAGAAGGAGCAATCCAATCTTCCGGGTTTTAGATCGTTGGAGCAAAGAGGTGCATTATCAGCACAATTCACAAATGTGATGAGGTGTCAGAAGCTACGTAGAAAACAGGAAGAACAAAAAATGACAGACCTCCCAACTGATCAACTCAGTATGGAACCTCCCTTCACCTCTGTAGGGATCGACGTGTTCGGACCGTGAAAAGTCATCTCCTGATGCACTAGAGGAGGGCTCGCGAACAGCAAACGTTGGGCAGTGCTGTTCACCTGTATGAGTACACGAGCAGTGCACAGCGAAGTCATCGAGTCCATGGACTCTTCGAGCTTTATAAATGCACTCCGGAGATTCTTCGCTCTCAGAAGGCCAGCCAAGCAACTCCGTTCTGATTGTGGAAACAATTTCACTGGAGCATGTAAAGAGCTTAAGATCATTACAGAAAATGTTGAAGATGATTCTTACTAGGGCTGCACATGGATCTTCAATCCTCCTACCTCTTCGCATATGGGCAGAGCCTGGAAACGCATGATCGGGATTGCTCGACACATTCTTGACTCCATGCTGTGTGATGTTGGGTCCACACGGCCCTCTCATGAGGTCTTGACCACTCTCATGGCCGAGGTCTCAGCTATAATTAACTCAAGACCACTGATCCCCGTCTCAACAGACCCGGAGTCAACATTCATTTTGACTCCTGCTACACTTCTTACCCAGAAGACAGACCTGCTCACAGCACCCACCGAGGAGGCCAGCACTACAGACATCTAAAAGACATCAATGGAGATAAGTGCAGAGCTTCGCCAACATGTTCTGGCATCGCTGGAAAAACGAGTACCTTGCGACACTTCAAGTGCGCAGCAAGTGGCAGTCGAGCAGACCAGACATTCAAGAAGGTGACCTTGTCCTACTGAAGGACAACCAAGTCAAACGGAATGAGTGGCCAATGGGCCGCATCCTCAAGACAATTCCCAGTGCCGATGGAAAAGTTTGAAAAGTTGAGGTTATGATAGCGAAGCAAGGTGTCACAAGAACTTTCGTCAGGCCTATAGCTGAGGCAGTGCTACTTATAATGCTGTAAATGCCTTTATAATGCTGCTAAATTGTTATGATAAATATGAGGCCTAGTTAACAACGAAGCCTGCCACTTGCATTATTGTGAATGTTACTTTGAATTGGATAAGTCAAGTAACTTCAATGCAATCTTGAGAGCAAGGATGAAGAAGTATCTCATCCACAGTTCAGTGTTATGTGCAGCGCTGTACATTTAGGCTGCAGTGTGGTGATTACACGATGTGACCTTATTTAACACAGTAGCTTATTCTCTTGTGTAGCTATTCAGTGATAATATGCCTGGTCAATCCAGGATCTATTGTTAAGTTTCATGTTATCTAAGATAATGTTATGATGCTCCTTGTGTTCATTCATTGTATCGATATTGCAAGTATTAATAGATGCTGTATTTTGTGCTGTGTTTTTCCATCAGTTTTACCTCGTTCTAATCATTAAATATGTTTGGAGTCGGATGTTCAACCTGGCTCTGAAGGTTTATTAAATGCGAGGTTAACTACTCGGATAGTGGTGCAACGCAGCGTACAGCGAGGCCGAGACAATGTCACTTGACCAAGTCCCTCTCTTGAGTGATATTCTATTAAAATACCCCACCCACTGGATTAGAATAATTCAGCTGATTGAACTCAAAACGAAAAACACAAGAGGTGGATTTAAAGTTTGAGAAGGGGACACGTGGTCTAAGAAATAATTTAATGAGAATATGAATAATCCACAGTGCAAGGTTTCAAAGCCAATGCTTTAAAATAATTATACCAGTCTTCCATTCAACCCCCACAATGAATAAGACAATGAGGGAGAATTCAAGCGCATTGTGTAGCCCTTACCTCAAATCCACCAATGATCAGTAGGGCAGATATGGAGTGTTTTTGGATCTGTTCGACGATTTTGTCCAGAAACTTGTTAGGAAGGGTCCTGTAGAACATACACGAAGCACCCGTGCTCCTTCATCATTCCAGAGTATTCACTTACCATAAAAGTATCGTGTATGGAATTCCAAACCTGCATTTCAGAGCATTCCAACTTCGGGCCACACACGATTCAGTACATTACGGTAGTTTTGTATTAATATCTGGCTGGGTGACGGGATGATTCGTACAATTGGCTCAGATTCACAATGTAGTGAGTTCAATTCTGGCCAAAAGTAAACACCCCATCATACTCTCAAGGTCAATAAAATGAACATCATCAGTGGTTATCATTTGAAGAGACTGGCCTTAACCATCTATATATATAAAATCGCAAATCTGTCTGTCTGTGTGTCGCCGGACCATACGCAGTTTCATTGGACGAAATGTGAGGGATTTGCGAGACGCGATTGGTCCGGCGGTTGCCCCTGGCAACGGGTAGCGACGCATTCGCTGCGGGATGGACGCCATTTTTAATTCCCGTTAAAAATATGCGCACGCATTAACACGCGACTCTGAGGTAAGTTCATCAAAGTTTCACGTCCTCTTCACTCCCCCCCCCACCCGATGTGTGCAATTACTATTATAGGGTCGGTAGATAATAAAATTATAGCGATTAGACAGTATTATTGTAGCGCGGGAGGGGGGGGGGTTAACGGCCCCAGTACCCAGCCTCAGCCGGGTGGGCAATTTAGGCCGGAAGCTCTGCACGGTACTAGGCCTCGACACCCCACCACACTATAGGCCGTACATATTACTGCACAGCGGCCGAGGAGATCGTGGCGGGGGGGGGGGGGGGTAGCAGCCCATCTGTGTATATATGTAAGGTTATTAAGAAATATATTTTTCACCCGGGCAACGCCGGGTACCTATGCTAGTGGTAATGTGTAAATATGACCGATGTCTCAGGGCCACGAATGGAGAAGAGCACCACACCATTGAAAAGTTGAGCATGAAGACAATTGAATTTCACTTTCAATTATATCACCAAGTATATCCTAAGTAATACTATTGGAGTCAAGTTATGAGACGAAAAAAAGTCTTGAAATTTCAAAGACATTAGTAAGTATGTAGAACTTATTTTGCGCCGTACGAAGCCAACCGTGTTAATCGAAGGTAAGGGAGAAGGACAACAAACTAAACACAGTTTTAAAGATATTAGTTTTCAATTTTTTTAATAAAAAAAATTGCATTGTATCACGTGAATGAACAGTTTCCTAAAGACCACTTTGTGTTTCCCACGTGTCATTGCAGTAATGGCAGAAAGCCGTGCCATCACTTCGAGTGAGTGTGGGTTTAGCGTGCTGTGGAACTCACCGTTTGGTGCCCAGCGTAGCGCCTCCACGTCCAGTCCATCCACCAACATCACTCCAACCAAACTCCTCCACCTATACTCACACACAACACTTGATTGTGTTCAAATCGTTGCATTCAAGTTGAGTTGTCTTAAGGAGAGAAACACTTTTTGGAAAAATTCACAACAAAAAGCAGAACCATCAGTGTCAGAGAACAGCCATCAACGACGGCTCAATGTTTCATAGTCACATAGCCATCATGAACCCTCTCAGGCAACCAGCTAGTTCTAACACACATAAGATATTGTGGTTATGTATGTTGAACTTCTTTCACACCGTACATAGCCAACCATGCTAATAAGAGGTGTGGGAAACCCAGAGGTCCATTCACCATTTGGATACCGGTGGCTATTATTAGGGGGGGGGGGGCGTGAAGGCTAATGGTTCCATGGGAAGTCAGCCAATGGTCAAGGAGGGTCTTGTGATGGCAGAGGAGATAGCGCGGGGCGGTACCTGTCCCTTGGCGAGGCCCTCAAAGCCATCGTGTACCGCGTACATGCGGTGGCCCTCCGAGATGCCCACCCGGATCGCCGCACGGACCGCCGCATTCATGCCGGCCGCAGGAGCGCCCACGCACAGCACTGCCACGGAGAAGCCGCTCTGCACACACACACACACAGGCACACAGGGTAGAGCAAGCGGCGGCAGGTACCAGAGAAGTGACAGAGGGAATATCAGAATAATAATATTTATTTATACTGGAGGAATCCGATGAGCTCTCAAGCTATTCTTCACAGATGTCCTGTAGGAACGTTACAACAACAAACAGAACAAAACATGATACTAGTGCAAAGTACAAGAGAGGTAAAAAAATTACCTAAACACATACAAATACAACTAAACCATTCCCTTTCTACCAGGCAAAGCCCAGTGAGGTATTAACTTATTTTTCAGAAGCGACCTAGCCACAGATGATAGCTCAACAAATCAGCCCATCATTTTGACATTTACAGCACCAAAATAATCTAAATAATCTCATTGTATATAACAAAGTGTATAACAGTTATTGGTCTCAGTGCTCCAAGCCGTACTAAAAAGTACTGTATGATAGGTTCGTGACTGACCGTCTTGAATACAGAAATCTAGGGGAGGTCAGATTGGTGATGGTGGGGGTCAGAAATCTGCATTTTCAAATGTTCTTATGAACAAAGTTGAGTGCTAGCTTGGATGCAAAGTTAAAGTGCCTTCATGAGAAATGGGTAGTACACATTTTCATTTGCAGCCATCAGTTCGTGGTTAAAATTCCACAATTTCACATTGTCTGACGTGGCCCAATGATATACGTTTTCACTTTCCAAAGGGAAATCAGAGTAGCTCTAAAAATGCAATGTAAAAACATTGAAACCTAAAAGAACCATGATCAGTGTTGCAAAATAGATATGTTTGTTTAGAATCTTTTGCCATAAAAAGAAAACCCACCATGTAAGTAAAATATACTGAGATATTATTGTCCAAAGGCAAACAAAACAACAAACCTTCTTGATCTCTGATTTCTTGTGTGCCAACAAGCGGTATATGTTCAGATTATTCTCAAAGCTCCTAAGAGACAAAGAGAAAAGATACAGATCATAGCTGGGATGATTAGCCAATTACCGGGACTTCTCTACTTACGAACGAGTTAGGTTCCAGAGGTCTGTTTGTAAGTCGATTTGTTCATAAGCCCAACTTTACTCCTGTCGATTCCAAACATGTTGTACGGCATGTACATTAAACATGGGAAATTGCTTGAACAGTTGTATAATCTCCTGTAGATGTAGATGCCACTGGTTCTTCATGTTTTGCAGATGAAGATCCTAATTTCCTTTGGTGCTCGTGTTTCCTCTCTACTTTCTTGAAAATTTTACCAAGAGATGTCTGCACAGTTGCTCTCTTATTCTCTTCATACATCAACTTGTAACAGGCAATAGCATCGTGAAAGCTGCCAACACCTTCGTAAGCCTTTCAGTGTTTCGGTCCCGAGACTCAAAACAAGCAAGTGCTTGATACTGAACAACCACCGCCATGTATTGCGGCGGTTGAATTTACGACTCTTGGTCCAAACAGGCAACTGAACATTCGAGCAGGTTTGTTCCTATCTCTGAAAGTTTGTAAGTTTAATTCTCGTAAGTAGAGGAGTCCCTGTATATCGATTTGTCCACTAAAAATGATCATTTACTAATTGCAGCTGCCACTACATTCTGCCGCCCGAAGGTGAGAAACTCCTACAGGCCACATAAAGCATGACGCGGGTAATGATATCGATGACATCACCATCCTCCGCTCATCACTTTCCGTCCAGCAGCATACTTTGAAACAGAGGTAAGACTTTTTTTCACCCCAAAATTTATTATGAAGAGTCTATTTATAGATCTAATTATCTGTACAGTAATCATTCACCAGCCCAAAGACACTGAAGGCGATGAGCACCACAACATTACTTGCTTGAGCAGAGACACACTGTAAATGTCATATTTCTCTCATCTCCTAACAGCAATTGAATTTTCATCTCCTTCTGGGTTATAATGTTACACATTACACCCCAGACAGCAATTATACATGTGGTGAAGCCACGAGAAAATAAAACCAATCCTAATTGATCTGTGTAAGCAACCCTGAAAGCTGGTCGTCTGCAAGCAGTTCTTCAAACTGCTGATCCATAAAATGTGCTGTGGCCTTTGTGTCTCCCGGGTATCAAGATAACAGATGTGAAGGAACAGCCAAATCGGGGCTATTTTCACTTATTTCCGGAGCACTCCCAAGGACCATTACACCCGATGAGACGTCTCCTGCCGTAAAAGCAGCCACCCATTACGAATTTGACCGGCATCTCCAGAACGAATGGAAATTTAATAAGCTAGACACAACAGCCAATTACACATGATTTCATACAATTCGCTTCACTCGATGGAAATTAACCACTACTGCACATCGTGATGGAAGGAAGTCAGAAACATTGTTTTTTATCACGTACTCTTATGAGTCCAGTCCATCACAAAAAATGCGTGCAAAATTGTGAAGCCATAATAAATGCGAGCGCAATAGAAATTAATTGAGCAGCCAAGCATGCCGTATTTTCTAAAAAAATCTTTTTCAAATCAACCTCTTGTGTTTTATGTTGTCATTCATAAGGCGATGAGTTCAACTCCTGATCAATGGTCAACTGAGCCAAATTGATAAAAGGAGTGCACTACTTTGTGAGAAGGTAATAGTGGGTTGTGCTCGCTCAGGGGCTGCCAATGTAGAGGGGACCATTCCACCATGGAAAGTCCTCAAATAGCAGTGTCCTCATAGCTGAACAGAAAAAAATGTAAGAAAACATACAAGGTGGCCAACAATCACGCCTGCAATGGGTGCTACTTCATGAAATTAGCTTGATGGGAAACATGGACACGCGCACATACCTGCCACGCAGCTTGACAGCCTCGTCAAACCTGCATTCGTCCATCGCTTTCTGCACATCTTTAGTCTGTGGGAGGAGGGGGGGGAGGATTAAAGAGGAGCACTGTAATCGTTGCAATCTTTTACATTCAAGAAACCTTCTCCCGCACCCGATAGATCACCATTCAAGACTTACAGCGGAAAAATTGCATCTCATGTCTCTTCAGCATTTTTTGAATATGCAACATTAGTTAAAAATAGGGTTTTGCATGCTGACAAATGTAACCAAATCTGTGAACCAAGAGGCCTAGTTGAAATTCGTTACAGGTTGTTCACAACATGGGAGACATAGATGTATTTCATCCTCAAAGGCTCATCAGAAAGCCACGGAAAGTGCACAATGTCATACCCATAACACGATGGCCATTTTTTATTGGATGAGTTTTTTGTGCAGTCGTCAGTGATGTAAACTTGAGAGATCGGTTTAAATATGTGTGAGAAACTCAGATTCAAACCCAGCATCTCAAAAGTGCCAGCTCAGTGTTCTAACAGCCATGATGACCCCCTTTAATCATCTGGCCACCTCACTTCTCGAAGCAATTCACGGGCATGTCTTCATAAATAACCAATGTGTCTCCATGCTGAAATGAATTTAATGTTGAGTGGCGCTCATCTTTGTAGATGGCCCAGAGCCAGTGCTAGAAATTACGTGTTCCTATGGTAGGAACCAGTTACACTACAAGTAAAGCATTGTTGAAATCCCACAAAGTGTTAAATTCCCCATTTATCAACCACGGGAAGGGATGTTGGGGACGAATTTGCCACCAATCTGGATTCGCACTCGCAATGTTGCCGAGTGCGCTGATCACAGTGCGACGCTGCCCGACCGGAGTGCAGCGAGCCCACGTGTTCTACGAGTGCAGCCCAGACGAACGGGCATGTAGCAGGGTCCAGCACTGTACCTTACCATCTCAACGCATTCCATGAGGGGCAGTCGCACCGCCTGGTTCCCGGAGAGTGACACCACACAGGCAGGCGTGTCTGCGGCGGCCTCCAGCAACGCCAGCACGGCCTCCACGCCCATGCGGCTGCCCTGTAGCCATGGATGCACACACGCGCGCACACATGGACACGCAGATGCAAAGGTCCGTATTTTTTTAAACTTTAAGACTTTCCACATATCACCATTCAGAGAACGAAATAGGGACGCCGCCTCATGTAAGGTCAGCAGTTGTACCAGGATGCGGTCGAAGGCAGAAGGCGTCCCCCCACGCTGCACGTGTCCTAGGATGGTCACCCGCGTGTCAAAGCCCAGACACTTTTTAATTAGCTGTAGAGAAGATTACACAGCAAGCAACATCCAGAGTTTATTTCAGAAAAACAGACTCTAACCCATAAATTAGTTATTCTATGTCAAAGAAAACGTTTCCCACTTGTCAGACAAGCCTCTTGAGGGCCCTTGTTTGCAGATGAGCCTGAGCTCATGATACAAATTCCACATTCCCAAGGTAGGGGTGAGTCTCGCTCCTTACGATAACCACTGCTGACTTCCCACAATTAATCAAGTTAAAATCCAAGCTGGGAACCGAGTTCTGATTATTATAACAACTATAATTATGTTTGCGATTCTACCCGAACCACAGCACCACTTTTCAGTTCCGTGAGCGGGAAATGAGAATTAATCAAAAGACTTGGCGACAACACATTCAGGCGTACAGCCAAAGTGCCCTCTGGTGACATCACAGCCACTTGCATTCTCAATGTGAAAACCCTGCCTAGATCACACACAAGATGCATTCTCTTTGGTTCTTTCGGTAAAGTCACGTAGGTATAAAATAAAATAAATCACGACGTAGGTATAAAATAAAATAAATCACGACGTTTCGATCGCTCTCTCGCTAGTTCAGCAGTTCCACTGCTGGATTATATTTTTTCCGCCTGAGGACGACCACTTGTGTTCTGATTGAAACGTCGTGATTTATTGTATTTTATACCTACGTGACTTTACCGAAAGAACCAATAGAGTATCGATTCCTGCATTAACGAAAGCTTCAAATCAACACAAGATGCATTGTTGGGAGTCTCTCCATCTGGAATATCACCACAATGCACTGAGGTGAATTTGAAAGAGGCACACTGTTCTGTGGCTACTTTTGCTATTTGGTGCCATTTTCTTTTTTGCACTAAGGGTCTGATGCTTATAATTAACTTCATACATATGTATGTATTCAGCAGTGTTGCTAAAAAAAAGTGTTGAGCTTTGCTATAGAGATGTAATATCATCCATGGAACCACAATGCTCCCTCCTCGCCTGTCGGATGGAGTCGGAAGTGATGGGCTTGCCGTGCCGGTCAATGGCCCCCTCCGCCACGATGACGATGTTCAGTCGCACTCCACGGCCCCGCGTCTGCAGCAAAAATTGAGATGTACCAACATATGCATATATATACACACACACACATAGGAGTAATGAGATATTCGTAGATTTGAAGCTTTCGTGACTGCAAGGAATCATACTCTTAGGTTTTTCAGTAAAGTCACGTAGATAAAAAATAAATAATAAAAATACAATTGAAATAATAAGAATTTTTATTTTATTTCAATTATTATTTAAATTATATTTTTATTACTTATTTTTTACCTACGCGACTTTACCGAAAAACCTAAGCGTATGAGATATTCGTATATACACATACAGCTAATGGCACCTGTTGAGCATCTGTTTAGTGACCACTCAAGGCAGAAGCAGTTATAATGACATTGTGATGTACTATTAACTACACGTAGAGAAACAGTGTACAATTATAAGGCTTCAGAGTCTATTGCAGACATTTGTAAGCGAAAAAGCCAGATTAAGGCACCTTTATAGGATGATTATAATTAGTGATGTTCAATAAGTTACCCTCAGGCACTTTGTATGTTTTAGGCTTAAGATACATGTCCAAAGTTCATACACACAAACGAAAGCACCCATTGTATTATTAAAGTTTAATATTAATTTCTTGAAGTTTGCAAAAGCACACCAAAGCACCTTTATAATCCTTGGATTCCAATGTTAATGCCCAAGACTTGCAGAGCCATCCTAAGACACCTTTACGAATCTAACGGTTGAACTTTCATCTCCAGGGCACAGAGCAGAAGATTCACATATTTAACAAACATGCAACTGCTTAAAATCACCAAATATGCTCATGTAGTTAGTGTCACAGCTGCCTCTCTAACCTGTTTCTCTTATATCAACAAGTGCAGAACCTGATATGCTATAACATGCATGTATATATGCCACAGCCTATATGTCCATAGAGGATACCTTGCATTACGCGTGTTAGACCATAACGAGTGGGGTCTCGAACTTAAAATGAAATGCAATATTAAATGTTCGTGGCAAGGATGCTTTACTCTTTTTCTGATAACATCCCTGGTCAGCTGGACAAGACTGATAGGGCATGTGCTGTTAGTGAGCACCTATTGATGCTGGCATTGCACAGCGATCGTTCAATTACGATCGAGCATTCTATGCACAGCCCCACCTAACCCAATCTGTGTTTACGGGCCGCCACTAATCTGCTCTGACGTTCATGTGGTGCTCACATCGGACAGCGTGCTGCACATTTTGTCCTCCCATCCATCCTCGGGAGGGCACTCAGGAATAAAAGTCCAGTCAGCACCACACACAAGTGCTGTCACCAGTGCCAGGTATCTGCACATGCACAAACACAAAAGACAAATCCAATAAAATGCCATTTAGCCTGATTTTTGATGTTCAAACACTGCACTAGATAAAATAATTTGTGTTTGACTGAACCTAGGAAAGGCCCACATGGTGCTTTCCACATTTCTTATCTACTGCCTGGAACTGAACCCAGATGATTGGATTGTAGCACAGTGCATGAACTACTGCTCCACACATGCACGCACACATGTGCTTACATTGTACACGTACGATTAAACATACCAAAAAACTAAATTGGCCAAACTTCCAAAGAGGAATCCTCTTGGAAAAGAATCCTGCAAGACTCAGTGATTAAAAGACTATAATGTAAGTATGTATGTTGAACTTCTTTGGCACCGTACGTAAAGAACCATGATAATCAGCTCAGTTCAGTTCATTAATCGGAGGTGCGGGTGAAGGACAACAAACTAAACACAAAAAGCAGTTCTAAAGAAATGAATTTCAACCTATATTCAAAATTGCATAGCTCCAGTGGCTGCCTAATATCGGAAGAGCGTTCTAGACGGCCGCAGAAGCATACCTGAAAGCGCACGATGTAGTGATTGTCTTTGTTCGATGGTTCGCCAAAAGCTGCTGCGAGGATAACCTAGAGTTTGCGTGATGGTTTATGCACATAATAAGCACATGTATCTTGCATGCATGCAGGCACTCACACCTACCCGCAGTGTCTGCCCATCACCTCCAGGACAAAGGAGCGCTGGTGGCTGGAAACAAACAAAAACAATTTGTTAGTCACATGGAAAGAAACTTTTTTCCCAATATGAATCGTTATTAGTATTAAGTAAAAACACGTTTTTTGGGTCAAGCTATAGCAGCGCCTGACTACAGTTTAATTCCTGGTCAGAAGTCAACTCTATTGCTTCATCTCTCCAGCACCCATTAAAAAGGTACCACTTTGTAGGATTTCAAACAGTGGTTGTTCAATAGATAACATCGCTACTTCTATAGGAATATAAAGTTTCAACTATTGGTTAGAAATGGTTGGCCATAGGAGATGAGCACTGCCATAATATTTTCTGATATCCTAGAGAAGGCATAAGACTGGTTGAATGGAGCCTCTCTACCATCTCCTCCAGTGCATCTGAAGATAGAATTGTATTGAGATGCTCAACGGAAGATGCAACCAAGAAAATTGCTCTTGATTTTAGATTGATATCCGAACTTCAAACATGAAGGAATTCCCTTAATGAGAAAAACTGAAATCCGTGATCAATTATGTTATGCCGCCCTCTAGTGGCATAACTAATGTGTGAAGTGGAAGATGGCAGCCTTCACAAAGCCCACTGTTAAGTGAGAAATCACGACGAATGCCATGAACGCGGCGACCGAAAATCGATCATCGATCTCAGTCTCCAGAGTAACAAGACAAGCCACGAACACCACTATTGTAGGACTGCCATAAATTGCAATACAGATGGAGGCTTGGAACACTACGATGCCACGGATGTGCAACGCATGGTGGAACCCAGCCATACTAAGCCAAAGTAATTCAGCATCATGCCTAGAAGTTTTAAACCCATAACGGCTGTGCTCATTCTTTGAATGACATAGATGGATTTTAATATGATTTAGCATGTCTGAAGCAGCAAATTTTAACTGACACGTTGCCACAGATTGGTCTTATTTTGGTAAAACTAAAACAACCCAAATAACAATGTAATTGTCTGCCCACACAGATCCCAAACTGCATTGTACTGTATCCAGCCTACGTGAATGTGCATATAAGTGCACACATGTGATGAGCTCAATCTTCCTTTGCGCCGAGTGCTTTGCTAAGGGTTGGCATCAACATGGTGACGAACTCGTGCGATGTGTTGTGAGCTGTGCTTAGGTCTGAATGTATTCATCCGTGAGTGTGTGAGCGATGCATTAAAACTGCATTGCATTGCATGCTGCACCCCAATCTCCGTAAACACGTGCGCGTCCATGCGTACATTACCTCTGCGCTGTGGTTGTGATAGCGTCCACCACCTCGATGATGCGGTGTAGTGCCGAGTCCGTGCCGATCGTCATGTCGGTGCCACAGAAGTCATTGTCGATGGAGCCGACCATGCCCACAATGTTGAGGTGCGTGAACTTCTGTGCCATCTCCCCCGTTATCTGGTCTGCCCGTGGGGAAAGCAGCAGCAGCAATATGATCTCCCTTCTGCCACAACTTACGGGACCCCTACTGCGATTCAGTTCTATTGCCCAGACTTCGCAGTCTGCCGCTGGGCTGATTGTTGATAAACTAAGACAAACATCAAGGTGTTTCCATGCTCAAATGAGTGAGGAACAGTGCTCATCCCCATTGGCAGCCCACAGCCAGCCATAGAAATGTCACGACTCTTTTGGGAGGGATGAGAACAATCTTCAAGCGGTATTAATGAGGACCTAGATTATACTCTGAGCTCTACTTGATAGTCTGTTGTTTTAATTAAAAATGTGCTCAATATATTACCAAATTACTAAAAAATACAAGATCTGACATTTAGTTTATTTGAACATAAAATGCAAGTTATTATAAAACACTTATTAAAGCCAACGTTCGATACAGAGGCTGTGGTGTAACCAGAACCAACACCCAGCTACTTCGGCCTTTCCAGTGCGAATATTTCCCACCACACCAGGCACACATTTAAGACAGTCCACTGGGGGGAGACACAGAACAGCCTGAGATACAACGTACCACTGATGCCACTGATGCTATCCATGACCAGGAAGTTAACCAAGTGTTTAGGCAATGTGCTAAACAATAAACCACCACACCTTACATATATGTGGTGTAATTGATGTGGGTAACGTTGTGTAGCGACAATACCGTGTTGGTGGTACTGTATGGGCAGAGCCTCTCCCTGGCACCATATGGGCATACCAGGGTAGAGGCTGGGTAAACACGAGGGGGCACGTGACCGGATGAGGTGCGAAAGGGGACCAGGATTGAGGATGAGAGGAACACATGAGGTGGGCCCTGAACCCTCACGAAGGATCTGGAAAAAGAGGCGTGGCCAAGGGCGGGGCCTGGCCACACCGTAAGGATAAAGGCCGAGCCCCGGGGGGGGCTGGGGTTCGTCCTGGCTGGGATGAAACCTTCGTCGTCGTGGTCTTCGGTCTCCGGGCGTCGCACACGTGGACCAGGCAGCGTGTTGGCTGACCTGGTCCGATTTAGTAGTTGCCCCGTCCAGAATGTAAATAGCCATCTACTCCAAGTGTATATAGCTAAGTGTAGGAACGGTGGGTTACCACCTTATGTCGTTATCCCGTTAGTTAATAAACGTGTTGCCTCCAATTTCTAGTGTGCGCCCTGATTGAACCCATTACACATACTGTATACACACACACACACGAGTGGACATACAAATATTTATAATACAGGAAAGTGCTGTTAGCAAGCACCTGCATTCGATACTCAGCCATAAAGAGCATAAGTGGGCCGTTTTATCTTAACATACATTGGGACTCCCCTACAGTATCTCGTTCATAAATGAGTATCAGCCAGGTTCGTGCTTAGATCCGTGGTATTTTTGAGACATGCTATAGCATGCTATAGATAGTCATACCAGGCAGACAAAGGTGGCCAAAGCAAGGCTAGTTCTGGCCATACTTCCCCTAACAGAGCAACGCCGACCTTAGCATGCACTCACTGATGCAAACTTCACACGCACGCACACACGCTTGCTCGCGCTCTCACCGTTGTTGACCAGCTCCTCGAGCAGGCCGCTCCACTCCTCGCGAAAGAGGTTGGCCCCCGTGAGGCTGCCATCGCCGCCGATCACACACAGGTTTGAGATGCCACGCTGCACCAGGTTCAATGCCGCCTTCAGCCGCCCCTCGCGCTCGCGGAAGTCCTTGCAGCGAGCACTGCCGATCACCGTGCCGCCCTGCAGTCCACACACACGCGCGCCCATATGTATGCAAAACAAAGACAAAGTTCCCCCCCCGTAGAGCCTTAACAAGACTGTTGGGGCAAGTGATGTTAGCGAGCACCTTTGAAGGCCGGCATGGCACATGAGGGGGTGGGTGACCAGCACCATGCCCGACCACCTTTGTCTCCTGAGTGGCAATGTTTACACACCATTGCACCAGGTACTCATTTGAGGCCAAATCGGCCTAGGAGAGGCCCAGGTTTGTTTCAGGCAATCGTCACAGTGTTGGTTATGAGCGGGAATCAAACTCTGGCAGCTGGGTTCATAATGCAGCGTGCGAACCGCTACACCACTGCTCCTCACAAAGATACATATCCCCATATAGCCTTAGCAGACTGTTGGGACAAGTACTGTTAGCGAGCACCTACATACATACACGCATATATTCACAGAAACATGTGCATATGTACGCACAAACATGGGCATCTGTACTGGGGAAAGGGAGGCCAGGTTAAGGGATTTACAGACTGTATGGATAACAAAGGAGGAGAATGAGCAATCTTCCACAACAAGCCAAATGCTGACTGGGAGGACTTCAACAGAAAACGTTGTTTTGTGACGCAGAGAGCGTGTATGGGGGGAAATAAAGTGGCTTGAGGGGGGGAGAGGTAGGACAGTGTGGAGGGGAATAAAGTGAGATGAGAGGGGAGAGGTAGGCAGGAGCGAGTCCACAGATGATCGTGAAGATGATGTATGTATTCATGTTGAACTTCTTTCGCACCATACGTAGCCAACCGTGCTAATTGGAGGTGCAGGGGAAGGACAACAAACTAAACACAAATTCATCCAGGATTGGAATGAGATCAGTATATTCACGTGATCTGGAGTTAAGGTATTGTGGGAGACCATAGATGAGAGTTACATTTGTCGTGTCCGGATGTGGTAACAGGTGTCACACGATGGGACTCTCATTATTAGAGGCATGTGCACTTTCATGGAATGTTAGTGAAATTCCCATACAATATAACTTTAATCACAGGTGAGCCACTACTCATTAATTTCCATACCAATGTCCCTGTGCAATAAGCATTGGCATATTGCTCATGGCTCAGGCACTTGTGCAAGTATTTCTAGACGAAGTCTGTGGGGGCCACGGTGTGAATACCGCGTGCGAGCATATATTGGTACCAGTTGCAGGATGCTGGAGACACGGTCCCACGAAGCCTCCTGGATGTGCTCCCCTCCATCCACCATACCCTGGTAGCCCTGCCGATCACAAATACACACACAGACAGACAAAGGTCCCCCATTAACTTTATAGACTTTTGGAGCAGGTGCTGCTAGGGAACAACTAGTAAGGCTAGTATGACATTCAAGCGAGCCGTGTGGCTAAACCCACGTCCGGACTTGTTTATGCCGATGTTCACACATTTAAGACCAAGTCAACTTAAAGGAGACCCAGTACAGGTTTAGTTACCACCTGTCACAAAAATGTATGGCCGGTAATCAAATAACGATGATCAGGATCATAACGCGTACACAAATTACTATACCAACGTTCGTCCACACACAACAGCAGCCACCATTCATCACTAAGTGAGGGTGACGTCACAACAGCGCTTGTGCCAGGCTAGGTGCACTTTTAAGGCCGTGTGAAGTGTTGAAGGCTCAGTGGCATGTCACAGGACAGACTCAGGTATTATGGGTTAATTGACTGAGATAACTGGCAAATGCAACGCCTATGCTCCCCAATATGCTAGCTTTAAGTAATTTAGTCACCTGGTACTCTGCTCATTTTTGTGAATGTTGCTCCTCTGCCCTCCGTTGTTGTTGGAGGGCGACTGCCTCCAACTGTCCAATACCATCATTCTCAGGACTCCTCTACAGAAGCTGACACTGCTTGGTACCAGTTATTAGGAATTTAAATCAGTTTCAAATCCTCCGATATACATCAGCCCATCTCCTTTCCAGCCTGTACCATGCCTGTTTAGCCCCCTCTATCAGAAGCCGCTTGGCTCGGGATGCTGGCCAACACAACCTCGCCTAACGGAGGAATTCACTGATATATCAAGGATGTGTGAACTCCTAACACAATGTAGCCTGATGAAACCCAGGATAGAATTAATGTTTAAGTTCGCACAAGTATTATTTTAAAGGGGTCCATGTTTTCGAAGTATAAAAAAGAGAGGGCATAATTTTAGTAGAGACCCAAAAATGTACATGGAGCAAGAGGCTAGGAGCTTCGACTGATTCAAAACGACATCTCCGCTGTCCAAACTGGTCGTGAGCACACTGCCAAGGTAAAGGCACTCCTCCACTCTCTCCACAACTGCCCCAGTGTGCATGGAGAGTTCAGGGTGTGGAGTGTTTGATGACATTCAGAAAATACCCAGACAGGTGCTTTGTGCTCCACCTCTCCGCGGGAGACCTATCTTGGACGCAGTACTTCTCCTGACCGCCGTGCCCATAATTGTTCTCAACCAATGGCCATCATCACTTCTTGCAATGAGTCCTGTCAATGCCAGTACAATATGTATCTTTAACATGTGCACGTACTTTCATCCGTGTGCTCTTCTTTCTCTCGGTCAATGTAATTCCAAGCATGCATCTCTCCCTGCTTTTTTGCACATTTTTACTTTCCGATCCATACGTCATAATAAACAAAAAATTGTAACCGATTAAAACACTGCTGTCTCTTTCAAATGTGTCACTCTGACATATCTCCGGTTGTTTAACGAATTTGCTTTAGGGACCTTTTGCTTTGTTCATAGTCATTCTGCACATAGCTTTGCAACGTCATCAATTATTACACATTTCCATACGTGCAGCCAACATGATTAATTTGTATACGTTTTTTGGATGCAATTGTCAATAACATTAAAACAATCTAATGACATGAACAATCCGAATATAAATCTAAGCTATAAGGACTCGTGGTTATAGTAACCAAATTAGAGCCACTATATATATATCTAAAAATACAGGCTAATTGGAATCCTTAGCTGCATTAATGAAGCTTGACCTATTCCTAGAAAGGTCACAAGCAACAGTACAAATTAAAAACCATATTTTACAAACCACACGTTCATGGTGAGATCCAAGCGTAGCACTACAATATTACACAAAGCAACCAACAGTTCCCTAGGTTACACAAAATCATAGGTTAATCTAAAGGTAAAATTATACTCTTTGATGTCACTGAACTTTGGGAATTGTCCATTTGCTAGTCACAAATCGCCCCCCCCCCCACTCCCCATATTCAAAGTCACTTCTGAATATAATAACATATCTGTCTATGACAAAAATACAACAGAGGTTAGGCCAGGACAGTGATCGTCACAAAAATGGGATTGCATCATTCTGAGCAGGCACAGTGGTAAGGATGTGAGGTGCATACTAATAAACCTGTATTGTTAACCAACGTGCAGCGCCCAATTTGTCTGGAAGAATGTGGCATGACGTCAACCATCAATATTCTCACATAAATAAATTAGCATATTGACACAAAAGCTGTTATATTATAATTTTAATCCTGCTACTGTACTGCCAGGAAATGCCACTGCCAGGAACTATGCTCAATGAAACAAAAGCAGAAATGCCTTTAATTACCTGACATCCAGTTTCCATGACATTTTGCTCGCAAATGCCAAGTTATGGCTCAGAAAAAAAACGAAGCCAAGTTTGCACAAAATCCCCTGCACTGTTCATAAAGGCGAACGCTCAGGCAAATTAAATACATTCCATTCACTCCACTTGGTCTTAACAGATTACGAAGTCAGAAAGTTTGAATGCAACCTGACCTTACTGGAGTCAACAAAGGAATGCATTCGAGCTCAGCTGCAAACAGAATATCATCATCAAAAGGATAGAATTGGCTTAAGTGTAGACTTTTTCACGTAAAAGTAGATTTCACATTCTTTGGGTCTCTCGGTAAAGCCACGTAGATATGTAGATACGTGACTTTACCGGAAGACCCATAGAATATGAATTCCTGCAGTCACGTAAGCTTTAAGTCAAGATTGGAACACGATAAGAAAATAAAGTAAACACTACAACAAGTCGGGCACATTAATACAATGCAGAAGAGCAGATTACAAGGAATGGCATGTGAGTGGGTATACGGAATTTAGATACCAAGGAGAAGACAAAGCCAGCTGGTAGGATTTTTTAGGAGCAGGCTTTTGAGGTTGGATATGAACTGTGTATCAGTTGCAAGGTGTGACAGAAAGAAGCAAGTGATGATTAAGTCTGGTAGCATCAACAACAGAGGCCATGGTGACCTATTGATTGTGCTCCAGCCAGCACTGACTAGGATTTTTATTTTATTGACAGTGCTTTGGCAGAGACACAGCATAATTTTCACAAATGTTACACAACAAAACGTCAGCAACTCCAATAAATATAACCCTGTGGCCATCATACATTATAATGAGTGAGTCGCATACTGTTACAACTTTTAGAAGTCCCATAATATATCCGTGACACTCTCGCTTATATAAAACGCTGCGTTCTCCTTGGTAGTCTGTAGCTCGGTATGACTCACCGATGAGCCTTTGTGAGGGTGAAACCTATTCCTATTTCCCACGCTGTGAACAAACAATTACATTTCTGCAGGGCTTATCATCTTAAAGATTGAACTGCGTTTGTCCGTAAGTGAAGGTCAGCACTTTATTGAATCTGTTTATTGTTTATAAATCTAACAGAAGCAACATTCAAAGTGTTTCCCTTCAGAAACAAAAGTAGGGTGGAGCTGATATATTTGAGTTGCAGTAGAACATCCATATTCCTATGGCAGGGGGCTCATTCCTTCATAATGCAACCACTGTCAACTTCTCATCATGTGGAACGTAATAAGTGAACCCTGGGGGGGGGGGGAGATACAGCTTTAGAAGACTCCTAACGAGAACTATAATTATTATCCCTCTGATTGCGAGTCAAACGCTCTTACCACGGCACCACGAGGTCGGATTCATGGGGGGGGGGGGGGTGTTCCACTGTAACAGGAAAGAGGATTTGTTTAGCAAGTAGTGTCTACAGTTCCTGAGCAGGCACATCCGCTTATATTGCTGTTCTTTTTGAGTTCCTGAATATCCAATAACTGTAAAACCAGCCATGCAATATTCAATGTTGGGTGCACCATCAATGCTGATGTCAAGTCGAAAGTGCAATGCAATGTAACTTTCAGTTGACATTGAATGTCAGAGAATTTAATTAAAGACGTATTTCCAATCCAAATCTGGAATGGTTGTGCTGTGTTCAGAGCACATGATTCGCAATCAATGACATAGCCAGTTCAAATCCAGGCCTTACACTGACTCAGCCTATCATTAATTCCCTTCCGGATTGCTAAAATAAATACCACTTTGTAGGGAATGAACAACACCTCATTTTGCATCTCTGATTATCACGGCTGGCTACATACGGAGTGAACGAAGTTCAACATACATACAACAGTTGTAATTTTGAATAGACTGGTCCATTCCATGGGAATGTGAAATGTTTAACAAATCACCGCAGTGCTCATCTGAGCAGAATATTTGACTTCACTAATGCAGTAAAATTCCACTCCATAAAATGACAATTCTCGCTTCCTTTCAAACTTGATCATTATCTAACACGACCGTCGTTAGAAGCAAAACATGATAACTTGACCGATTCATTATGAGATCATGCCAATTTTTTGGCAGTGCAATACTAATGACTTTCAAAAGGCAAGACTAGAAGCAAACCCACCAGTGCTATTTATAACGCCACTCAAAGACAGTTCGTTTACACTTTCAAGCGCGGCTTGCTCTCCAAACCAATTCAATGGATAAGGGTCATTGATTTGTATCACAAATGAAGGCGAAAGCAGCCAGTCTACGTGTAAATGTGCACATCTTCTTGGTAGAGGCAGAGTGTGCTCCAAGTGGTACAGCGACACTATAGATGTTTTATCTGTCTATTGTGGTACTTTTAAGGCCCTGTGTACAGTTGCATAACACTTCCTGAAGTGAAATTGCCCCCTTAAAGGACACACCAATTTACATTGCAAATTAGGGGAAAATATCACTTCAGATATAATTATGCAACCGACCACTGGTGTTTTGTCAATCCTCAGAGAGTTTCACACAGTTCTTGAGAACTTAAAACCCCCGATAATAAATTCAAGGAAGCGGATCTCACTTAGAGACAAATTACCCAGAGGTGATTAAATTCTGGTTGCCAAAGGGATTGGTCAAAACAATATTTATTTTTCAACACCTGGTCTTTTGGGTGAATCACAGTACTCATAAGGACTGCGCAGGATAGACGTAGTAGGTATCAGAGACCACTGGCTCAAATCTGGGTGCCAGCAAAATTTAAATCAGATTACTCTTAGGTTTTTTCGGTAAAGTCACGTAGGTAAAAAAAATGAAAATAAATCAATTGATTTATAAATAATAATAATAATAATAAATGAAAATAAATCAATTGATTTATTTTCTTTTTTTACCTACGTGACTTTACCGAAAAAACCTAAGAGTATGAATCCTTGCAGTCACGAAAGCTTTAAATCTAGAATTAAATCAGATTCTCAAATGTGGAGTTAATTGTCTAAGCCCAATTATGAATTACTTCACAAAACAATTATTTTTTTTAGGGTATTATAGACTGTGATGTTTTAGTTCATAACTGAACGCTCGATGACATTTTCAAATATTGAAGGACTAACGTGCGTGCAGCCACCGCTATACAAGAGGACGAACGAGTGCCATCCAGTGATGAGCAATGGCAACCCACTCGCCACTCTAAAACATGACTTTACATTAATGTAACCTTTTCACAAAACACCGCACAGATTTAATTGACAATTAATAATACACAATATAATTACTGCCCATATACCATATTTACTTTTTAATAATTATTTCAAAGTACAGAATTACCGCAAGGTTTAATCCGAGTCCATCATCACGAAGTAGAGGTGCAAGGCTCAGGCTCGTGGATGTGGAAGGCTGAAGAGATATTCTAATCGGCTTGAAGAGTTAAAAAAATCGTAAAATGTGAAAACAAGAGAGAGAGCGCAAGCCTTGGCAGAGCAATGTGCAACGACCAAGTCATCCACTCCCATGGGTTCACCGAGTTCCATACAGCAGATAAGTATATACCATACAGCAAGTGTACAATTGCATGTCAATTGTATTTTGTACACTGGTTGCAGATAACTGATTACATTTCCCAGTGTTAATTAGCGCATCTAAAATGTCCATACACATGGTTAACACAGTGCACTATGGTCGACTCGTGTAATCGGAATGAATGGGAACACAAGTGCTCTCCAGCACGCAGCTTTGTCTCTGAACTGCTCATGTTTCCATTTCGTGTTGCCTTTGGCTACACAATGCCTTTTACATATACCATAGAGAATTGCACTTTGAAAACACGAGCATAACTCACCGCTTGCATCCTCTACGAGTTTATCAGGAGAAATACACAATAGCTGGAATTTCATATCAGTAGCATACATGTACAAATTCAGAATGACCTTTAATAATAACGGTTGACAATTCATGTGTAGAAATGTACACAAATACCAAGTGACAAGTGAAAGAATCAAAGGTAAACTTCATAATAGAACAAGTAGAACTTTAATAAAGTCCAGGAAAGAACCAAAAAGAAAATACTACTTATCACTGCTAAAGCGATAGCTTATCCAACCGGATGGAAGTGGCCAGAGCACACGACTCACAGACGTGCCAAGTTCAAATCCTGGTCAGGGTCCAAATAAATGTTTTACCGTCACGGAGTTAATAGAGTCAGTAGCATGTTGTAATAAGTTAATGGCACTCCATGGTACGACTGCATCACAGGAATATGGAATGTCACGAGCAGGTCAGGTGTCCAACACGGACGAGCAGTACTGATTTGCTCATTTGAGCCGGGAGAAGCTTGACTTTCAGGGCTTTTTGCCAGTAGTGGGAATTCAATTTTCTTATCATGTGGGCAATAACCCTCAAGTAATACCAATTGCTACTATGTGAGTATTGGATCCACATGCCTCAGTTGAAGGGTTAATTGTGCTCATTTGCACACACAACAAACACAACTGAAAATGGAGACGTGGCCACCCGAGAACCCAAACTCGTGTGAGGCCAAGTCTTTCACAGTACCTCATAGATGAAGTAGACCTTTGCTCCAACGTAGATGCCCATCCGCACCACCGCCCTCACTGCAGCATTCATCCCTGCACAGCGTTAAACACACACACATATTACTCAAATCACCGTTTGGACTGTAAAGCCAACACAGTTGGAGAGGACCTGTTACATCCAGTCGTTATGTTTTATTTTTATTATTTTATTACTTCCCTTCTACGTGACTTTACCGAAAGAAGCAAGAAGAAGACACCCAAAAGCCTTTGAGCTCCCGATTGCCCTGCCTTATACATTGTACCAGGTATTCACTTTAGGCCGAGTCGACCTAAGGGAGAACCACTTTTTTCCCACAGGCTTCGGGTTCTCACAGCCAACATGTCTCAAGTCGAGAGCCACTCTATTCTGCCAAGGATATCTGAGAATGCAGATGCACTGGCCTTCTTTAAACAACCCAAAGTGGCCCTTTCCCAATATGCCCATCTTGCTACTGGGTATCTTGCAAATCTTGCAACACCAGCTTCGAATGCTCGTTTTTGAGCATCCGTTTCCAGTTGCTGGAAAGGTCTCTTAGGCCCAAGAGATGTTCTTTCTCTCAGATATTATATTGAAATGATTCCTGCATCTCAGATGCAATGGAAACTTAATATTGTAAATTAAAATTAACTGTTAATTTCTCCATTTGTTTCAACAACACCATGTATGCAGTTGTACCTGTTCTTATTGCTTGGTTATTTGGACTAAATGGGAGTAGATGTCAACGTGCATATTTTTCTTTTTTGTAAAAAATATAATTGCTGCAGCATTACTGTACCGTTATTGAACGACGCAGCACGAAAGCAATCCTACTTTCAGCTAACAATGCTGCTCCGACTGATTTTGGTTTAAATTTTGATTGACCCCAGGTCAAGTGCCACGTGTTAAAGAGTGCACCACCGCACCCTGCACACACCCTTACACAGTGACCACATGCGTGGTCACGTCTAAAACTCTAAGGACTAGTGACGAATTGTCATGTTCTGTTTACGTGACAAACATTACTAGTTGGCTGTGTCAGGTGGTGGCGGGTGTTAACGACTCATTGATATATTTACACGATCTAAACCAAAAAAACTCTATTATGGACTGATATATAGCATCTGTGCCTGTAAAATATGGAGTATGGCCACCTCTTCCAAAACGTTTCGTCAACATGGAAGAGTAGCCCAAATACCCACAAGAGATCCCTCCAGTGAAAACAATTACCAGTTTACCATGTACCAATTAATAGTCCTACAAAGAAAGTCATGTGCATTGGTACATTGAACCCACATGGCTGTGGGTGGTCATAAAAAGACAAAACAGCAAGTAGGACACTGCTACCATCACGTACTTTTGAGTCTAATTCCATGCGTGTGTGAGATTTCTCCAAACATGCAAAAAACTGTTCATAAACCAGCCATTGGCCAAATATCCGAATGCAGGACCCTTCTCTTCAGTAAATCAGTCTTAAAACAAAATGAGGTTTTCCTGGTGTAATTGAATGAAGGATAGTATTCGTAGGAATGCTTCAGTCCATTAATTGTCTATCTCCAGAGCTTGGCACAACTTTTGCTTGCACACTCAACGGTTCTGCTGAAGGCTTTTGAAGCCAGTCTACATAACAAATGTGTCCATGGAAAGCCATGCCTTTTAGAAAATGTTTCAAACACATTTCATTTCTACCTCAGGTCTATGTAGACTTAACAACCTTGGGAATCATGATAAGCCATGATCCGTCCACTGCTGGATGAAATATATAAATGTGTCGTTAAAACCCGCCACTACCCGACAAAGCCAACTAGTAAGGGTTGTCACGTAAACAGAACATGCCAATTCGTCACTAATACAGCACACCGGTGTGTTGGAGAGCCAAGCCACAACATTTATAATCGGAGTACGTCGTTTTGCCAATATGGTAATTACAGCTAGCTTCATCAGGCGAAAGCCAGATTTGTGGAGAAGTCTTACTGTTTCGTTCCTTATATAGAGGCGTAGATGTGGTGACCACGCTTCTGCGCTCTTGCACAATTACTGAGGCAACGTACATTATGTATGTGCATTATGCGAGCCCACTGCACTTGTACTTCCTGTATATTGTGTTTATTAAAATAGGCCTACCAACGGTAAACCCTATTGAAGTACGCTGCCCTTTGTGGGCATGCATTTAAATAATGTATTATTTGATGATTCGCTTCCACGCAGCACTGAGGCGGTAGCTATCCGAACGGTTAAAGTTATTTTGACTCATTTCAATTTCGATAGATTCTCTAATTAGTCTTGGCCAGTCGTAGCTAGTTTTGCATAAAACTTCAACATTATCAAAATCAATCTTGATTTGAAGCTTTCGTAACTGCAGGAATCCATACTCTTTGGTTATTTCGGTAAAGTGACGTAGGTAGAAGAAATAATAGATCACGACGTTTCGATCGCCACACAAGCGACCTTCATCCGGTTGCACCGATACAGCAGGACAACTGCTGACATAGGAGAAAGAGCTGCTGACAACAAGAGTCTATGAAGGGTGACTTTACCGAAAGAACCAAAGAGTATCAAAATCAATTGAGTGTCCTTGTTGGCATGTGTGTTCTGCTACTGCTGACAGTTGTATTTGGGAGAATTTCATATTTCTCTGATGTTCTTTTAGTCTCGTGCTGATCATTCGTCCTGTTTGCCCAACATAACATTTACCACACGTGCAGTTAATCCTGTACACACCTTCTGTTGATAGCTTCAGTAATACATATTTTGTACCAGATATAAATTTCTGTATTTCATGTACCGTGTCAAATCTGACTTGGATGTTTGGTTTTTCCAAACATCTGGCTAATTTATCAGTTACTCCCGCAATGTACGGTATTTTTATCGTTTTAATTACTTGGGCAGTTTAAATGCTCTTACTATTCGATTTGGTTTCGGTGTTCAATGCCCTGTTGATTTGTGCATCATTGTAACCATTCATTTGCAGCGCTTCTTTAACATGTTGAATTTCACTTCTCAGACTGTCACCATCTGACACTTTCTTAGCTCGATGAATGAGCGTCTTGATAAGAGCAGATTTCTGCGCGGGGTGATGGTGTGACTGCATTCAGATAGGTGTCAGTATGCGTTTTTTTTCGGTAAACACAGTGTTATTTTACCATTTCGACCCAGTCCGAGCAGAATATCCAGAAATGGTAGAGTTCTGTCAGCTTCCACTTCCATGGTGAACTGTATGGATGGGTTTTGCGAGTTGAGATGATTTAGAAATGCGTTCAGTGTATCTTTGCCATGTGGCCAGACCACCAATGTGTCATCCACATATCTAAACCAAGCAGATGGTTTTAGTGTGCTTGAAGCTATTGCTTTTGTTTCAAAATCTTCCATGTACAAATTCGCTATCACAGGAGACAAAGGAGAGCCCATTGCTGGCTGCTGCTTCCTTTTGTTTATAGAATTCACCTCGCCACAAGAAATGTAACACATTTTAGAAATATATTTTTAAGCACAATGTTTATTTCTTTTCGTTATTAAGTTCAGCAGTGTACATCTCCATGTACGTGTATCTCCTTGTCTTTTATGTATATTGATGTCTCTCGGTATCTTTGTCTCTCTCCATGTCTCTCCATGTCCAAGCTTCTCTCTCTGTCTCCATGTCTGTGTGATGAGTTTTTTGTTTTTAATAACACAATAATATATATTTTTTTATGTTATCTTGATTTTACCATGATTTTTTGCCGCAAATGTTGGGCGTCATTAGTGCAGTGCATCGCTGATTATAGGATCAGCAAACGTCCCTTACATCGATGTCCATTTTTTATTTTACTGTAGATTTGATGAACCGCCATGGTGTCTTAAAACAGCACACTGGAGAGGCTGTGTTAAGTTAGACCCTTAAAATATATTAAGCAAAAGCCTACATCAATTTTCTTCGGGTTCTCCGGGTTTTCCCTCCACATTTAGAATCAACATGCGTTTACAGTATTTGGATTATATACATTTACACGTGATTGGCCACTTTGTTGAGCTATCATTTGTGGCCAGGTCGCTTCTGAAAAAAAGTAGCTCAGTGGGCCTTACCTGCTAAGATACAAAGTTTAGCACCAGTAGCACATTCTGTGAAAAAAAAAGCTAAATTCCATTTCCAATCATGGGTGTTTTTACTTTGAGCTGGGCCCAACTAAACAGGGCCATATGTGTACAATAAATGTTGACTGAATGAAGGAAACAAGACTGATCACTCTCCAAACAGTGAAGAAGCATCGTAAGGGTAGAGATTATTGTTCTGTACCATTGTTCTGTACCAGCATCCTCTAGGAGTTACAAAAACCGGTCCTGTGTTGCTTCTTAATATGATTGTTAAATTGCAATCTCGCATTGGACAGCCCAGGATACGCAGCCTTACTTAATCTATATCTACAAACAATAGTTATTTGGGGGGGGGGCAGGGGGGGGATTGGCGGCATTGTCCTTGAACCTCAGAAGAAAATGTACAAGTTCAATTAAGACCAAAAGGACAGCACCAGATAAATACGGTAGTCAAACAAGGGCATCCAAAGTCACCGATCTAGCTCTCAACAGCAACAATACTGTATGCGTCACCATTCCTCCAAATAGTGTGTGCACAGTAGGCAGGGTTGCCGTGGCACAGTGGGGAGGAAATTGCTGCAGACTTTGTGTATTGGTTCAAAAGGCTTAAGGCAGGGGTCGGCAGCCTGGGCTCCGGAGCTGCATGCGGCTCTTTAAGGACTGTTTCGTGACTTGTATTCGCATGCATTGCGGCTCCTGAAACATTGAGTTTTTCACCGAATTTAAAAAAAAAATTCTCTTGTAAATTTTGGTTCCTGACACCTGGCTTAAGGAAAGAGGTAAGACAATGTTTACATGCAATCTACAGAAGTAATGTTGTCCATATTTGATCATGTTCACAACTTGGTAACTTTTTAAGTGTGCACATGTGCAATACTGAATTTGTGAATGGTTCAAATTATTTTACAATGGTTACCATTAGTTATGGACTCAATTTCAGGTTTAAAATGCATTTCCCACTTATGTGAAAGTCAACTGAATGTAGAATTAATTACATTTGTAATAG